CTCCTCCTCCTCCTCCTCCTTCTTCTTCTTCTTCTTCTTCTTCTTCTTCTTCCTGCTCGTAAAGCAGCCCTCTCTTGAGAGAGTGAAACGACACCGCGCCACCGCGGGGAACTTTGCCTCGTTCCGAATTTGTAATCCGACTTCGAGTTTGATAAGGAATTTACATTCGTAAAAAGTCATTTCGGATCGGATCTCTTTCCTCTCCATCCCCCCTCCCTCTACCCTCCGTTCGCGACTGTGCAACTTTTAAGAATGAAGGGTGAAACTCGAACGGCGTGCCCGCGAGCCGAACAGTCTCCGACTGATCCTTTTGCCAATCAAGCCGCGAGTCCCGCGAAACTATCATCCTCCGGAGATATCCTCCGGCTCGTCTGATCAATAATTTATAACGCGGCGCGGTTCGGAAATCCGAGTTCGATATTGAAATTTAATGGCGGGCGTGTTCCCGCTGTCGCGTCGCCTGCATATCTTACGTATTGTGAATAATAATCGCGACCGCGTCGAAATAAATGTCCCGCGACTGCGTCGGCGAGGCAGTCCGTTGTTGGAAATCGCGCCGCCAAGATTAATACCGACTGACGACGGGGGAATTAATCACGGCGCGATACTTGTCACGGTAAATCCATCGGTGGCCGTCATTCTTCCAGTGTAAATCAATCGGCCTCGCGCGGACCCCTGTTACTCGCGGTTGCTTCATTTATCGAATCTCCCGAGCCTCGGTCGAACTTTGGTGCTGGCCGCGCTCCAAACCCGGTACTTGTTGAGAAACGCCCCGGCTGAACCTGAATAATCATCCGCGTCAATCCCGCGTTTTCGTTCCATTCCGGTCGCTCTTTCCCTATCGTTCACTTTTCGTACATTTTTCTCGACGCATTTAATGTTGAAAAAAAAAAGAAACAATGTTTACCAGTTTTATGACATAAAGTTTATTAATTTGGGAGTTAATTCGACGGCGATGACGAAGAGAGAAATTAAGTTCTCTCTATAATTCCTTTACGACTTGCTGTTAACCACAAAACCTTTGTCTTCACATACAAACATTTTACTTCATAAGATTGTGGCGGCTAGACAAACAGCCCCGAGGCTTCCTCAGCCCACATTGCTGCATAATTTAAACATTCTGAGATAAATTTCGTGTTTGTACTGACAGTATTCTTGTTAGGGAAAAGTCTTGTTTTCCACATGTTGTTTTAACCTTAACGAGGGTACGCGATAAGATTTTGGACAGACAGTATCGAATCATGCATGTCTTGAGAGAGTTATAGAAATATTTTTGTCATCGTCGTATTCCGACTTATTCAGTTTCCTTCCAATCACTTAAATATTAACCCTTTGCGGTCGGAGCCGCCCGACGAGCGAGAGTCGCTGTGGACGAGAGGTATTTTTGCGCGCAGTAGTGAAAATATACACGTTGAACGTTCGTGCTATAAAAACTAAAGCTTTACTTAAGTACAACAAAATTTTTTGACAGAATCCAACAACAACATATTTGGTTATGATATATTTATGTATGACTCGTTTTATATTCGTGCGTGGTGTGGTATCAATCGCCTATGTGCAAGGTCGGTTTAGCCGAGGTCCCGGAGCTATCCCAACGTGCAGAAGATGGCCATCGCGGAGGTTTTGATCGGTAAAAATCCGACACTACTTGGGTCTTCCCTTAAAAGACTCAGGTATCTTAAGAAGATTTCCTCCACGTAAAAAAAAGGCCAGTTTCTCTTCTTCCATCTTTGATTTTTCGATTAGAACATACCACACAGTCTTTACTCCTTCCTGCATTATCCCGCCGAATAATATGTCTTTCAAAGGATATGGGACTGTTCAGTCTACTATACCCATGCTTATCTTATTCAAAAAGGTAGAATTCAGATGCTGTATGTTAACACGCGTCCGCAGTTGTAAACAGAATTGAGCGGCTATTTGCCGACACTCGTCCGCAAAGGGTTAATAAACTATTTATCATAAACCACGTGGTTTCAATCTCAAGAAAACTACTGTCAATACGGCCACGAAATTTATCCCAGAAACGTTTAAATCTTATATTAATTTCAATGATCGTTTACGAAAATGTCCAACATCTCCGTTAACTCGAATCGATCGCGTCGCAAAACCTGGTAGAAGAACGAGCAGTCGACGCGAGTAATCGTACGTCAGCGAGCTGATCAGCTCGCGATTCGGAAAACATACACGTATAACTCGTCACGTCGCGGCGAGTGGGCGAAGGGCAGCGCTGGAAGAAATCGTCAGAGCCTATTTCCAGTTGGCGTTCGTGCGAGGATCGTAGTACGTATCGGGAGATTCGGCCAGTCCGGTGAGAATCGGTAACGCGGGCCGATTCGAATCGACGGGACGTTTACCTGCGAGAACGTACGCCGAATTTCAATCAGCGACTTCCCTTCCTCTCGTTCGCGCATCCAGCATACACACGATCGAAAGAAGAGCGAACAAAGAGCTCGCGAGGGGAGTTCCATCGACTGGTCGAACGCCAGGAGAGATCTCCGTTTCCGAGCGTACGAGGCAGTGAGGGAATCGAGACGAGAAAGGGGCGGCGAAGCGGAGGCAAAGGGAGGGCAAAGAACGGCGGTGATTTACTCAATCAAGCGAGCTTACTCGCCGCCGAAAGCTTCTTAAGAGGAGCTTTGACAAATGGCCGACTTATTCCGCGAGAATGCTCCGCGAGGCAAGCGAGCAATGACTGCCAGTTAACGACCCTCGTGCACGCCTAAAAGTGCACTCCAATAATTGTCGATGGTACCATTATTATCTCTCGCTTTGATAGATTCTCAATCCGGCGTTCTCGTTTTCGAGAACAAATTGCAGGAAGTAAGCGTTGGCTTCAACTTTAACTGGAAGCGCATATCGTTGATATCGAGGAAATATTCCACGAACAGATGTTACAATTCGACGATATATTCTCGAGTATAATCACAGAAACACTTGTAGCAATTGACGAAATGAAACAGATTTCTGCTGCAGATTTCTCGCGGAGAAAGGCAAACGTATAGACGAGCGTGTGATTTTTATTCGCGGCCGTTTATGGAGTCGGCACGGCGGACTACGTGCGCTAATACGACTTTTCAGCAGGAAATGAAGCAATTGTGAATAGAAGGCGGATCGAAGGCAACCGATCGAACCCGGTGATTGCCGTGCCTCCTTTTTGGCGGCGGCTATTAAGAGCTACAGGTGTGCGCGCACGTCCAACGGATAGTTCCGGCCTTGTTCGAGGGGTTCGGCGAGGTTCGCGTGGTCCGATTACCCCTCGATTCGATCCTCGGTGGAAATTTTCGAGTGTGCCCGGCCAGACGATCACACGCTCGGCCATGCGTCGTTCGATAGGGACTTATTGCATTCGCCGGCTTTGTATTTACGCTCGGCGGCGATTTGAAGAACCTTTTAGACCCGAGCCCAGCCTCCGAAAATAAACGACTCATGCTAATTGCCGCTAAAACGTTCGATTTCCATCCATCCGTCATTCCCCGCCGAAACGGGGGGAACGAAAAGTTCCACGCGAAATTCCAGAGCAAAACGACCGATTAACATTGGCGATCTCGGGGAACATCTCGATAAAAATAATCGTATCTTTGAATAAATTAATACTCTAGATGAAAGAGAACGTTCCAGCTGATCTGTCGATAAGAGTTCTTTCCTCTCGAAAGTTCTCGAAAATTCGAAGTTTAAACGAAATACAAATGTTATTTACTTTCGTAAATGCATCAAGATTCACGCTTCGAATAAAATCGGAGACTCTTGACCGCGATGAATCCGAGCCGCGTGAATTTTCGTAGGCGCTAATCTTGATGACCGAGATGCTTCGCAATTACGAAATTCAACCGTTCGGAATTGGATTTCCTCCTCCGCGAGCAGGACTCGGCCGTCAATCGTCCATTTTCAATTTACCCGGTAAAAGTATGAGTAACGGCTAACTCGATTAGTTTTTATCACTCGAGTCGAGATCCCTCGGCCGCTATGGTTGCCGATTACGTCGACGAAGATGCATCGATTCTGACCGGAGGTCTCTCGTTACCTCACTCTCGACGTCAATCTCGGCCGAAGGCACGCGAAAAGGAACGATCGTCGAGGAGAAGAGTAAGGGGATACAGCACTCCTCCGAACGTGCCAACGACCAGGCCTCTTTCCTTCGATCCTGCTGCTACTACTACTCGGCCACGACCTCCGATATCCTGTCCAGCTTCATCCCTCGGCGAGCGTTCGTTCGCTCGTCAGGCTGGATAGTCCATTTGAACGTAACTGTTTCGCAAGTCCCACTTACCGCCGCAGTAGCACGCGAAAATGCTCTTATTTCCTCGGTCATCGTTCCGCGTCATCGTCCACCAACGGCCACGGCGACGTTAAGGACCGCAGGAAACGAGGGCGAACCGAAATCAGTCCGGCCTCTCCTCTGCGTCCTCCTCGGTGATTTCTCCACGTCTTACGAGACGGTAATTCGTCTGTTGGCTTTTACGCCGGTTGAATAAACGGGCCCAGTTTTATCGTAAAAGTGACTCTCTCTCTCTACTCTACGATGATACAGGGTCTCTTTTCAACTGACGTGACACCTTGCCAACTGATGGGAAAAGTGCAGAGTGGCGTGTGATGCTGATGCGACGTCAGCTTGGGGATACGTAAAATTCGGGAGAACGTGTTCACCTGACCGATGTAACGCGCGATAAAGCTTGAGAGTATTTAAACTGCTTGCTTATTAACCCTTTGAGTTGTAATACCGAGTGGCGGGAGTTATGATTTCTACTTGAAAGGAGAAGCAAATTGCACTTTTGCTCTCCGGAATACCGCAATTTGAATTTTCAATTTTTCAGGCTGAAGGTTAATAAATACGCGTGAATTACACGTAACGCATTCAACGCTTTACATCCGGCACGATGTTGTAATAAGCAACGTTTACTGAGGTGGAAATCGTAAGGCAAGATAGGTTAAGACGTTTCGTCCTTTATAATCTTAAACATGTGCAATTTCATTCGTTCAAATGTTGAATGTGTCAACGACGCGTAATATTGAACAACACCCGAAACTGTAAAAACCAAGACATCTTCTTCAAAAATTACATCGAAGTTGGTCGTTTACATAGAATGTTGGCGTGTTATCGAGGCAACCAATCTCCGGTCCTTGCCTCGGCTCACAAAAGGGCTTGCTGATCTGATTGGCGCGCGCTCCAAACAATTTTTTCCCTCCCCTCCACCCCCTCCCGGACTATCTCGACCGACCGAACGCGTAAAGACGCTCTCGCGTCGAACAACGACGGCCGTAATTACTTCCGTCTTGGACAGATGACAGAGCGATCCTTCCGTCTGACTACAAAGGATCGATGATGGATCGTCTGGCTGACACGTACGCGTCGATGGGTTCCTCGCGAGCAGCAACTCTCTGCCAGAGATTCCCAAGTTTTGATGATCGCGGAAATAGGCTGTAACTGTAACTCTTGGTTTCGAGAGCACAGGCGAAGACTCGGAAAGCCAATTAATAGACTTCTCGTAATCCTCTCTCGTTGACCTTCAAATATTTTTGG